AAAACACAAATCTGGTTAGCATTAAATGCATACCATTATTCCTGACGGAAAAGAAAGAGAGATTCAGCTTTTCTCCCCCTGCATTTTCTCGTGATCAGATAGAGAGATATTTTCAAGTTTTACAGAAAGTACAGTATGTAATGGATATATGAATAAGCCATTGGAGCTTAAGAATAAATGGTTGGTCAATCTGGGCCCGATGTACATGACAAATTTGACTTGGGACTTAGGTACATTCCATATCTTAATTTGGGGCCTCGTAGCATTGTTTTCCCTAGATAAAATCTAACAAATGATTGTTTAATTGCGTGTAAATTTTATTGAGGATGTCTAATTGGAAAAAATAATAAAATAAAAGCAATCATCTCAAATTAGTATAATTTTTGAGGATGGTGATTGATGCAATTGAAAAACAAGACAAACTCAAATTTAAAATATGAAAATTACAGAAAAAGGGAGTGTATTTGATAAAATTATATAATATTAAACTTATATCAGACCATTTCTCAATGCAAAGTAAAAAAAATCATTTCCAAATTCACCGTAAGCGGTCCTAATAATATTCACAATTTATTGGGGGTTCCATGCAAAATACCCCATAAAAAGGCCTATTTTTTATGGACAAAATTTTGAATTAGAACCTTTAAAATAATAATCATCAGAATTGGCTTATTCTTAAAATATTTATCAAAATAGACATAGGTTCTATAAGTTAGCTGAAACTAGATCAATTTTGATAAAAATTCGCTAACTTTTTTTTTAAATCGACTTAGTTTTGTTGATATGGCTGAAATTGTGTAGACTCTAATAAATATTTTGCAAATAGGTCAAAACTGTTAACTTTTCTAACTCTAGTTGAGTTAATGCTAAATCTAACAACTCAAGTTACCTTATTGACCCTGGATACACATTACCCTCCCAAGTTTTGGGTTTAGAGGGAAGCTAGCCATGGGAATGATCTCAATTTTGGGCTTGGGGGAAGCGTGTGACAATTAGAGAAGAAAAAAGGTGGGTTTGAGTGATTATAGGTGTGGGTGTAACGGGTATTCTATCTAATTCCATCACATTTAACGGTCATTAATAGTACGACCTAACACGAGAGATGGACTGACAAGAAAATTAAAGATTTAAGGGACTGATAGGCAAATAATGAGATTTGCGGGATTATATGGCAATTAAAGATGATATAAGGTACCGATATGCAATTTACCCTAATTTTTTTTTTGAAAATGACTGTTTTAAATATTAGTCTTATTTTTCCCTTTTCACACCCCAGCCGTCCCCGGACCCCATCATTCATCAACACCCCATCCCCCAACCCCATTCCCCAAAGCAATGGCGACCGCAGGCTCAGCCCCATCAAAACCCGAAATCCTCTCACTCCTTCGCTCTCTCCTCCGAACCGCCGCCAAATTCACCGATTACAACATCAGAGAGTACGCGAAACGAAGGTCCATCGCCGCCTTTCGAGACAACCGGAATCTCTCCGACCCTTCCTCGATCGCCGCCGCCTTCGCCGACGGAAAATCTCAACTGGAGGTCGCCAAGAGGCAGGCCACGGTCTATTCTCTCTACGCTCCCAACGTCAAGAGCATCATGGAGATTAGAACGACTAGGTAAAGGTGTTTTCTTTTTATCAATTTGATGATTTTGATGTCGGCTATGAAATACCCATGTGGAGACATGCGAGTGTTTTGGGTGAGACTAGAGTTATTCTCCTGGGACGCTTAGTGTTTGTTAATATTGCCCAGTGAATTATCGAACATTGTGCGCTTGAGATTGTTATGAAATGTTTGCGTCCTTAGTTTATTGTTTTTATGTACTCTCTGTTTGTTAGTATCAGTACTACCCTGTGACTTATTAGTTTACTATCTTTGTGCTCTCAAGGTGAAGAGCATGACTGTAATCATGAATTTGGTGGTTTTGATGTGCCCGTGTGGAAAAAATTGTGAAATTTCTGGTCTTTGATTGATGGGTCTTTCAATTTGGTTAGGTGATAGTGTAATTTTTTTTAGGTTCATTCATTTTGGCGATGTCGGCTAGGTTATCCTCTTTAGCCCACTTTGTGTTTGTTAACGTTAACCAAAGTAAATTAAAGAGCATCATAGAGATGATGAAAACTAGGCAAAAGAAAATCATTTCCCCCCTCGGCAATCTGCTGATTTATATGGATTTGGTGATTTGGTGTTGGTTATAAAATACCCATGTGGAGAATTGTCAAATGTCTGGGGATCTTTGTTGGTGTGTTTGTTGGTTATGCTTATATTTGTTAATCGTGTATAAAATTGCAAAATTTCTGGTCTTTGATTGGCGTATCTTTCAAATCTGTCATGAACTCAGGTGATTTTTGCTAGTGAAATGGATTAGATTTAGGTTATTGTTGTTTTCACTTTTCTGTTTGCTAGTATTACCCAGTGAATTATGGATTGTCTTTCTATGAATCTATTATAACAACATGATGCATTTTTAATGAAATTTTTAGCAAGAAATGGCTCGGTCCTTAGTTTATTCCCTTTATACACACTTCATTTGACAGTAATGCTCAGGGACTTTTGGGTTATCTTTTTATTCTAGTCAACCTCTTACATGGTAGCATACTGTTTTTGTGTTCTCTAGGTGAAGAGCACCATTGGAATTATGTGCAAATGGTTATTTATAGACTATAGAAAGGGGATTTTTTTTCAGTGCGTTTGCATTGATGTATTGTCTGGTAATGGTTTGCTTGGTGGTTCATTTGTAGATTTGTAATTTGATAAGCATTCTAGTGTTGCTGCTAGGGGAATGACGTGGCATGTTTACCATTTTAATTAAGTAAATTGCTTGAAGGATTGCTCTTTAATTTCTGTATGCTTTTTGTCAGTAGTAGTCAACGAAATAATGGAGCAACTCTGGCAAAATATCATGTCTCATCTATTATGCTTATGAACAATATTTGCAGCATGATTGAATCTTGCAATATTGTGAATTCACATTAAGTATTTATTACCTTAAAGTCATTACAGGGTATTATGCGTGTTTATGGGGGATAAACTTTTTTTAGTATTGACTCCCAACCATAGTTGCATGGAACCCGATTCATTCCGGTTCAGGGGACGGGTACGGGAGCGTGGTACACCAATCATTAGGAATTGGGTATGAGGGTGTATGCTTATATGGCATGCTAGGGAATGTGGTGTGTTACGTATTAGGTTCAGTTCTTAAATGTAGGAATCAAAGGTTTTGCAATAGTCAAATTTAAGAATTGTGTTGCAATAAAAAAGAATTGGGTATGAGGGGGTATGCTTATATGGTACGCTAAGGAACATAGTATGTTACGTATTAGGTTCAGTTCTTAAATGTAGGAATCAGAGGTTTTGCAATAGTCAAATATAAGAATTTATTTATACTTTATTCGTGTATTTTGTTGTCTATTCTATTGAAAAAGAGTTATTATTGTTCAAAATTTTAACTAATTTGAATTCTAAATCGGATCGCTAGAGTTGGTGAATCGGGTTGTGTTCCACACTGAATCCGAGACGATTGAACTTGGGTTGCAGTTCGCTATAGCTTCCCTCTTGACTTCTATGCTCCAAACTACGCCAATACACTCGAAGTTGTGTTGAGTTAATGGTTACAATTTTATATTCAAAATTGAACGTGGTTTGCTCTCACAACATATTATTCCCTCCCACCACATCAAAGCTCATCGGAAATTGTAGTGAGGTCACGGTTATAATTTTGTATTCTAACAGGTCAGAGTTTATAAGTCGCTTCAACAAATGATACATGAGGGAGGACCTAGATGATTTAGACACTAGCACAACAAACTCAAATGGGTATTGGGTTGTAAGAACCTTTAAAGTCACAGCAATGCAATTCCTTGAGGTACATTGAGGAGAACGTTTTCTATTACATAACTAAAGTTTCTGTATTGGATGAATGTACTCATTAAATATATGATATGCTTGTCCTTGTTGCGTCCAATTTCTTTCGAGTAGTAGTCAAACTACCTTGTTCAACCCAGAAGGTTTTGTCATTTTGACTAATCACGCCTGCACAAGCCTAGTTTAGTTTACTTTTGTACCTTCGTTTTGCTGTTTAGCCTTTAGTTAGCAAGTCTTAGACCATTGGTCATTGACTCGTTGTTAAGGATCGAAATTGCTCATAGTAAAAAATTAACCTGAATGCACATGAGCTTATGACTATCTGCAGCATTGTGATCTCTTTAAGCTCATCAATTAGGTTTCTTTTTTATGCAGTTGGACCAAATTATGAACCTCCTATCAGTGGAGGAAAGATAGAAGGGATATAAAATGAAGGATCCCTTCATTGTCAGTACCAAATATTAGGTATTTATGAAATGGTCTCCTATTGACATGTCAAATTTGCCCCATGTTTAGCTAGGTGAACCAATGGAATTAGGCTACAACTGTAAAGATTTAATTGCAGTGCTAAAGTTCATTTCTCTTCAAGTGTAATAGAATCCACAAACGCATCAACTAGACAAGTTGTTTCTGATGCATGCATCAAAAGCGACCTTAATTTTACAGGAATAAACAGAATATTGCCTCATTTTTCTTAAAGATAGAACCTTATCTGTCCATAGTTAATATCAAATAGTAGGTCTCCATGAATTGGTCTGCTATTGACATGTCAAATGTGCCTCATTTTTGCCATGTCAACCAATAGAATTTGGTTGTAGCTATAAAGATTTAATTGCAATGCTAAAATAATCTCTTCGAGTGTACTAGTATCCACAAACAAATCAACTAAACAGGTTCCGATCCATGCATCAAAAACAACCTGAATTTTATACAGTCTAATGATCATTTATCTAAAGAATCAATCATTTATTTAAAGAATAAATATATGACGTCCTTAAAATTTTTTTTTATTAAATGGAGCCTTCTATTTGAATCTGTTGTTGATTTGTGAAACTTTATAGACTACTGTAAGCAGCTGGGGACAATTTTTACAAAGAAACATTTATTGAAATCTATAAACCTCAGCTCTCAGAAGTTTATTCAGCAGAATACTTTAAAGTAGAAATAATGCAAGAAGGCAATGATGTAAAACTCACCAATGGAGGCATTTTTCATATGATCTTCTTGGTGCTTTCATGTTGGATTAAAATTTTCCTTGCAGTGAGAAAGAATGAGAAGACCTCAAAACAACATGAAGAAAAATATCTAAAATGGATTTAGACCATCAAAGCTAACAGTTGCAGAGGAGATTTTACAGGTATAATAGCATATGATGAACTTCTAAGCCAGAAAAATAATTTACAGTCAGAGTTAAATTTCTTAACAATGACTTTCCCCTTGTTACTATAGGATTTACAAGCAATCTTCATGTATTTGACGTAGGATATGCAACTTTCTTCAAGTATATGCATCCAGCATCTCTATAACTTATGTTTAAGTTTCAACATCATCGGTTCTTGCTGATGCTCATGCAAAGGGACTGGATATTTGGAGATTTCTCATGAAGTTTTTTCTTGTTGACATAATTAAAAAGGGCGATACGATGTGTACATATATAGCGAGCCTAATGAAAGAAGAACTAGTTGTATATTACAACTGATAAAATTTATCCCTCAGAGATAGCACATTAATTCTGATATTAATTAAAATGATGTGGAAAGTTGTTCTTCCTTGTTGTTGGTGGTGGGTTTGAAATAGTCATAACCAGCTTATATTTAGAGATATTCCGCCTAACCCTAATCATATTGCAGCTAACGTGGCAAGATATACAATTTTATGGTCAAATGCTAAGGATGATAGGCTGACTAGAAGGATTAGGAGGGCAGCATCTAAAATGCAGTTCGAGGAAATTGCTAAGAAGAAAGGTGCAGACGACATGGGGGAAAACTTCTCCTCTTCTGATTAGGTGTTGGTTTTGATCTTTAGTGTTTTCCAGTCCAGTCTTATGTTTTGGTGGTGTTATTTTGTGAGTTCCTCTCAAAAACAAATCTTATGTTTTCAGGTTCTTCGCTCCTTTTATGTTCTTCCTTCTGTTGTGTAGATGGTTCTATGAGGGTTGAGTCTAGTTTGGTGACGACAAGGCCCGCTCCCAAACTTACTCCTCTTCTCATGGTTCGTAATCTATATTTTTTGTAAGTTTTGTAATTAAACTGTTAAGCTCTTTTCTTTTATATATATATATATATATATATATATATATATATATATATATATGAACATGAATCCTCTTCCTGTTTTTTCAGTTAAAAAAAACTAATAAAATTTATCTTCATTCACAACAATCCATATATAATTAATAATTTAAGTCTTAACAATATACATAAATCTTGCAAAGAGGCAACCACTGTTTATCTGGAAGGGAAAGTATCAAGTGGAAACCGTCCACTTGACACGGGTATGCTAAGGAAGGGGAACTCGTAGATCAGTGCTAAACATGAGGGGTTTATGAATTAATATATTGATCCAAGAATACTCCTCCTTTTGTCCCATCATGTGATAGATGAACTAGGGCCGGCAATGGTACACAATTTCATTCCAACCAATTCATGTACCAACCGTACCAAATACGTTGGTATACCATCAAATCGGTATACGGTACATGGTATAGTATACCGTACCAGCTTCAAAATACGGTACGGTAGGTGGTACACATTTTCCCTCTACCATGGTATACCGTACCTACCAACTTATATATCCATTTCACAACCCCTCAGTTAATCTCAACCCTCCATTCAAAAGCTCCTCCTTCAAAACGATCGATCCCTATCTACTCATCTTCACATCTCAAACCTCAAACCAGATCTGGATTCTGGCCAGTCCCCGCCCTCTCCTCCGCCCTCGACACGAGTCACAACGACATCCCCTTGCTCAGATCAGCGTCGCCGCCGGCGCCCTCACCCTCGCGGCCTCGACCTCCCCCTCCTCCTCTCCGACTCCACCGCTCGAGGCCCTATTCAAGGTTTTGCCATTTTTCTTCTCTTTTCTCCACTCATTTATGGCCTCTCTTCATGTGAGAATTTATTGCGATTCTCACCCTTTCACCTCTCTTACAATGAATTTAAAGCTTCTTTACCAATTAGGGAGGAATCGTACTGCTCTCTTGCCTCCCCTATTCCTTTTCCTCTATTTAATGCCCATAACTACAAGTTACCTTCTTGTTTCCTTATCAATCTGCTAGGATTCCCCTTTCCCATGAATTGAATGCCCCCTGTTTGGTTGTCAACAGCCAAAAGCTGTTAAAACTTTTGAAAGGGATTAGATGTGGGCTAATTCATGTAAAAGTCTGACTGTAATATTTTCCTTTTTTACAGGAAATTCTTTCTTCCTTTTGTGGTAGACTAAGTGAACTATTCAGCAAGCCTTCAGTAATGGAGACAGCAAAGACTCTTAAAGTAGTTCTCCATGAGTTACCAGGAGGAGCTGAGGCTTTTGAGCTCATAACAAGGTTTTGCTATGGCAATGGCAGGGTTCAATTGAATCCAACCAACACTTGCATCCTTCATTGTGCTGCCCATTTCATGGATATGAACAAGGAAGGCCTAATCAAAGAGACAGAGAAATCCCTCGAAGGGATTTCACATTGGATGTGGACGGAGGTTATTCATTCTCTGAAACAATGCCAGCATTTTATTCTGATTGCTAGCTCCTCTGGTGTCTTAGACAAGGTCTTGGATTCTCTAGTAGGAAGAATTGCTACTCCAGTTGATGCTAGTCCTCTTAGCAAATTATACGGAAAGAAGAGACTTGCAGAGGTGTATGAGGGTGATAAGAAGGATTCCTATTATTTAGAGGAATGTTTGGCTTCTCCGAATCTGATTGAACCTGGATGCAAAGGAGCACAATGAATCAAAACAACCAAACCAGTAGAGGTCAGTGAAGCAAGTTCTGCCCGAATATCCAGTTTATGTGTCCTTAATTAATGCATCCTGTATATTATGAGTTGGGAAAGCTGTTGTGCTTCTTAAGTTGTTCTTCATTTTTGTTGTTGTTTTCTATTATTCATTATCTATGCGTAGGATTTGCTTTACTTGCCAAATTTTTCGATGTTAATAGACATGAGCCATTAGGCAAACAAGGGTGAAAAAGATAGGAATAGAAATTGTGCGGTGTAAAATTGTAACTGTTAACCTGGGCCATAAATATCTTGGTAGAAGCCCATTACCAACCGTACCAACCGAGTACCAATCGTACCAAGTAGTTGGTATACTAACGTTATTGGTTGGTAGAAATGATGAAATTTTCCTACCAATTATATATTTGTTGGTACATGGTACTAGGAAAATGTAATTGGTATACCTACCAATCCAGCCCTAAGGGGTTATCTCTGGTAATGAGCCTCTGATGGTACGGTTCTTCGTTGGCACTCTTCGTGGAGCCGCCTTCGATTGGTATCGCCGCCTCAAGCCAGGAAGTGTGAATAGCTGGGACGACATGGAGACTAAGTTTCTCACTAACTTCTTCGACGACGACACCGAGATATCCATCGGGTCGTTGCTTGACGAGAAACAAAAAGGCGGGGAATTGGTTGATACCAACTGTCGGGACCCGATCACTGAGGAGTTTATTCTCCAGACTTGCCACAACAACCTCGCATTGGACGTGTTGGAAGCAATGGGGACAGCACCGTCCAATACATGGAAGGATTTGAAGGTCCGAGGAGAGCAAGCCGAGTGATTCCTCCGAAGGAAGAAAGCCGAGAGGAGCCAACCAACGACGAATCTTCCGAACTCAAACTTCGCCTCCCGTAGGAAAGGCAAAGCACCTGCAGCTACTGGTGGTGCTAATCAAATGTCACAACAGCAATCCCGAAGGCAGCAAAAGACTTCGGCCCCGAGACTCCAAAAAGAGTATTCCTTCAAGGACGAAGACGTTCCAGCCATCTTCGAATCCCTCCTTGAAAATAACAAGATCAAGCTACCACCTATCACAAATCAGGAGGAAGCTAACAATACTACGGATCCGAAGTACTGTGCGTACCACAGGAGGGTCCTTCATCCCACCAAGGATTGCTTCGCTCTCAAGAATAGCATCCAAACCTTGGTTGAAGCCGACGTTATAACGCTAGGGTAAGTCAATTGAGAACAACCAGACTCCGAAAAGTATAAGAGTATAAACTGCTTCTCAATCCTCCGACCGGTATAAGAGGTTAAACTGCTCCCTGATACTCCAACATGTATATGAGTCTAAACTGTTTTATTTCTTTAACGGGAAGTTCCTGAAGAATTTTTATATGTAATATTCTTAAGAAGAACTCTCATTCAAATTCTCACCGTGTCTGTGCACTCAACACCCTCTCTGTTAGAGTCTCGACATAAAATTCCCAATTGGTCAAACCTTCCTACAGTTAGGACCATAACCAAAATCTCCTCTCGATTCCTCCAATGAACGAGAGGTCCACTTTCAAATCGAGCGATCAAACCTTCCTACAGTTAGGATCGTTTCAAATCTCCCAACATGGTCAAACCTTCTTACAGTTAGGACCACAGTCAAAATCCCCTCTCGATTCTCCCAATGAACGAGAGGTCCACAAATCAAGCGATCAAACCTTCCTACAGTTAGGATCGTCTTAAACCTTCCACTTGGTCAAACCTTCCTACGGTTAGGACCACAACCAAAACCTCCTCTCGATTCCTCCAATGAACGAGAGGTCCACTTTCAAATCGAGTGATCAAACCTTCCAAAGTTAGGATCGTCTTAAACCTCTCATTCGGTCAAACCTTCCTACAGTTAGGACCAAAACCAAAATCCCCTCTCGATTCCTCCAATGAACGAGAGGTCCACTTTCAAATCGAGTGATCAAACCTTCCTATAGTTAGGATCACCTCAAACTCCCGCTTGATCAAACCTTCCTACAGTTAGGGCCAAAACCACAATTCACTCTCGATAAATGAGAAATTCACCTTTAATTCGGTAATCCAACCTTCCGACAGTTAGGATATCCGAATCTGTCCGATTCTCGGAGTGGAGATCCCACTTCTAGTTTCTTTTGCGCTGGAAATAGAATATAAAATTCTTCCTTTCCAGAATCAATGAATAGAATATAAAATTCTTCCTTCCTTGTATTCGGGTTCGCCTTCACCCTAATAGAAGACCGGGAAATAGAATATAAAATTCTTCCTTTCCCACACCAACCTTTTCCAAGAATTTATCAATCTAGGATTCATCCTAGGAAGTTTATCCCGAATCCTAAGCAAGGATAAGCCCGCCTAACACGTGCTGTCGGTTTAGTCTTTCTCCGTAGAAAAAGACATCAGAGTTCGATTCTGGGGTATCTTATCCTGAAACCTAAGCAGGGATAAGTTTGTGCCTAACCCGCGCTGTCGGTTAGTTCTTAACCGTTAAAAAGAACACCCGCCCACATATTCAACATTTTGGCAGGTTATTATTAATAACACCAAAATCCATGCCTTACACGCATGGGGAATTTCATTCTGAATCCTAAGAAAGGATATGCCGACGCCTAACACGCGTCGCCGGTTTAGTCTTTCTCTGTGGAAGAAGACACCAGAGTTCGATTCTGGGGTATTTTATCCCGAAGCCTAAGTAGGGATAAGTCAGCGTCTAACACATGTTGCCGGGTAGCCTGTTCCCATAACAATGGCGAAGTCTACGTATTCGAAGTCGTATCATCAAGTCTAAGGGAGTTCATTCCTTTAGCACAACGTCATATGCGGAACAGACTTAAAACAATCCGCATGTAAGCCCGATTCAAACGGTAATCGGTAAAAGCCTGTCAAATCCGTTGAGGGCTGAGGATTTACCAAAAATCCTAAGTCAACGTCTGATACACGTTGTTGTTTAGTCTTCACAGGAGAAAGATGAAGTCTACGTATTCAATATCGTAGCACTAAAAGGGTTAACTCTTTTAGCATAACGTCACATGCGGAATGGACTTAAACAATCCGCATGCTAGCCCGACTCAAACGGTAGTCGGTAAAGGCGCATCAAACCCGTTGATGGCTGAGGGTTTGCCAAAAATCCTATATATGCGAAAGTCACTGACGCACCAGCCCCATTAGTTGGTCTCGTGACTTAGACATCCAACAAATTCGGGATAAGATCCACACGTGCAGATGAAGCAGCTTTAATAGTTGGTCCTGCAGCCTAATATTTAGGACCGTCACGCTCCAACGTCTTAAGAGCTTAAACTATGAAGACTCCAGCAAACGTATGAGTATAAACTGTGTCAATCACCGGTCAACTCGTTACAACTAAAATCAACGCCGGACAACGCGTTACAGTAAAGGTCGATGTCGGTCAACGCATCAGCAATTTCGTCAAAATAAGGCAAAAGATGATTCCAAGGAGTTCAATTACAATCAGAATTCCCGACGAAGATGATCAGTTCAAAGTCAACTCAACGATAAGAGCTAAATTCAGAAACTTACACATCAACTTCAATCCAAGATTTCGACAACGGTCAGACGATAAACGCAGCACCAGAAGAACTTTATTTATTCGATAAAATACCGAATAGACTAAAGGCTGAAGAAGTTAAGAATTGAAGCAGTTTATAGGTCCTTTCACACCGACTGAAGGTTGGAACTATCACATCCAAAACATTCCAGACTCCTCTATAAAAGAATGAGTCTGAAAAACTTTGGAGGGGGTATCTGTAGGCGTCGAAAAATACCTATAGGTATCCACACACAGCTCGAGACGGAGAGAAGATGACGAATGTCGTTATCCGAATTATCTGACGCCGACCAATGCATGAAACAAAACGGCCAACGCTAGATGGCCCGCGTGCTCACCGGCCACCACGAAGTGGCCAACACGTTCACCATTCACCTCCAACTTAACAAAATTTATGATGCAAGTTGGTGAAGCGTACGAGTCAACGTAACACACGAAATGGCAAAAGACAACGCAGCTAGGAGTTGTGTTTCACCCAAAAGGGGCGAAACACCATGTGTGACTCGCACATATCATGTGTGGTTCGGCTATTGGAAGTTGTAGGTCTTTTCGTCAGCTTTCCAACACATCTTGAATCACCTCATTCCGAAATCGGACGAGAGAGTTAGAGCCAAAACACTTGAGGTAGTACGAACTGGCTCGCACAGTAGTACGAACTGGCTCGCGAGGTAGTACGAACTGGCTCGGTGACTCGCACCCATGCGAGTCACCAAATGGTGGCTCGCACAAAAAGTAATGTTTCGGCCATGTTGTGATTTGATTCTGAAGAAACTCAAAACACAAAAGTTGTAGGTCTTTTCATCAGCTTTCCAACGCATCTTGAATCACCTCATTCTGAGATCGGACGAGAGAGTTAGAGCTAAAACACCATAGGTAGTACGAACTGGCTCGCATGGCTGCGAGCCACCTGGCCGAGCCACCCAGATCTGAGCCCAGATCTGGTTTGAAGAGCCTATAAATGGACCACTGGGCTCATTTTTGAGAGGGGGGACTTTTGAGGGGAAACTCTGCTGGATTAAAGGCTCAAGACTAAAAAATGTTGGAGCTTTGGAGCTTTGGAGCTTTGAAGACTCGGGCTTATCAGATCTGGTTCTTGGCGATCATCCATGCCAAATAAGGTAGGAGTTTGAGAGAGATCAGATCTGAGATCTACACGGTCATCCTCCAGATCAAAACTTGGTTTTTGATCCCGAGAAGAGTATTGATTTCGCTTGGTCGATTTCGATTACTTAGGGCTTATTTCCTTGGTGAAATAATCCCCTCGGCTGTTATTTCCTTCGTGAAATAACACCCGTCATACCGTGTAGATCCGACCGGATCAAGATCGTGCGGTGGTCCACGGATTAACCCTGGCGCAGGCAAAGAACCCACACAAGCAAGAGACCGCAAAACAGGATTTTGCAATTTATTCGAGAGAAGGAAAGTTGTAATCTTTTTTCTTTTTGTTGATTTTGTTGTAACCAGATCTTATAAAAAGACCGGATTTTTTGTAATCGAAAAACTATTACTTGAGAAAGCAATGAATTGAATGAAGGTAATTTTCCCCGCGAACAAAGTCGACCTTCAAAAATATGCTCGCGCCTCCCAACTGATCCAACATGCCGTCTAGCCGA